GTGTGTGTGTGTGTGCGTTTGTCCCAGGTATTTCAACTCGGACTGACAAGCCAAGTGTGTCCGGTCTAGGATTGATAAATGGGATGCTAAATGCAGCTGAGCTAGAAATTTTTGTACCTCATTGTTAACAAGCAGCTCTCCACAGACTGTTTCCTAAAAAACAAACAAACCAGTTGGCCATAAGCTTTAAAAATTCAGTGCCAGAATCGTAAATAGCACAGTCTTCTAACACTGTATCAACGGCAATTGCTTTTAACCGGTGCCATAAGTAGCCTAATAGCAACAACGACCAATGATCTTGAAATGGGATCAAGGACAGTGACGAGATATTAGATCGTCCGATGATAAGCTAAATTTGGCTGCGTATAGATACTGCTGAATAAAGCAACAACTTTCTACTGAACTAGATAAATCCAAACAGTCTTACAGTAAAATTTGAAAAATCTCAACTTTTTAGAATTGTTGAGCAGGTTCCGAACATGATTAGGCTTAGCAGGCACTGCTGGACGAGCAAAAGATAAGCGGCACCACGCACTACAAGGTCAGTGCGACTAGAAGTTTTTATCATTAGTTGCCAAAAATGCGGAATGGTCGAATCGTTAGGTTGAAGCAGCTGTACTATAATCTAACAAAAAAATCAAAATATTTGAGTATTGCAGTAAGATCAACTCTGAACTGAGCCCGAAAAAACTGCAGGGAAGCAGTTCTGCTTGAATCTGTGCCATTCACCACTGGACGAATAAAAAATAAATTCATTACGCGGGATGCTTCGAAGATGCTTGAACGAAGCGCTTTAATAATAGATTAAAAGAAGCAAAATTTGCAGTGCAAGACGAATGCAGCATACAGAGCCTTACTTCTTTTAGTAAGAAAACTACTGATGCTTGAGACTGATTAATTTGTGAAGATCATTAAAAATTTGGTCGCTCTGCAATGAGCTGTTCATGCGATAAGAAAGCAAATAAGGAATACCGAGGAATTTATTGAATGGTTTTCTGTCAATGATTCGGATCTCCAAAATTGGAATTCCGCTGACTTCCGTGGTATTTTGCCTTAATTGACTGTGCTGCAAATGGGCAATAAGATGTTGCGCCAGAAATCCGCTTCCTCCAGTCACTGCGACAATTTCCCCGCTTAACGATGACGATGACAAAGACATTGCTGAGCCTCCAGCCGGTATTTCCGTCCCTGTCAGGGCAGTTGAACAACTACTTCTGGAGGTGTGTGTGTTGTGTGTGTATGTACGTGTCCCATTTCACTCCAGTTTTGGTCGATCCGACACGCCCCATCTTGATGCTGTCAGCCTCCTGTCGCCAGCAATCTAATTTCTAAAAGATTGTGATCTCGCAGCAAATTTTTTAGAAAGATGAAAGAAAGACCGATTTGGGGCATTAAATAAGGCAGTACTGAATCTTCTGCGCCTTAAAGTGAAGGTTTTCTAGT